GTTCAGTTCAAAGTACTAATCTCTTTGCTCTAACTTGGAATAATCTGTGTCCCTAGAAAGCAGTTTCCTTATAATGAAGTATATTTAGAAACCAAGATATGGCTAATAGGACTATAGCTTTCATTTTAATCTTTACCTGTTCCATCTTTATATCTTCCTTCACCAGTAGATAAAAACCTGGCTCCAGTTATCATTATCTTTACCAATTTGTTCAATTCTATAATATACAAGAATGTAGTTTTTGAGTGCTAATCTGTACTATAGTAAAAACCAAAATACTGAGTAAATCTCACTATTTATTTATGCTTCTCTATTTTTAGACAAGGTGCCTAGCTAAGATACATTTGAATTTACTTCAATAATTTTTTCCCAAGGAAGTTATGATATTAGTTTACGTTTGACTATTTTTATTCCTTCATTATTATTCATTTGATTGCATAAGTTCGTAAATCATTAACATGGTTCTTAAAAGTTGAAACTACACAAAAAGCAATTTTACTATGCTCCCAAACCCTTATTTTGGTGTGTGTTATGGGGAGAATTGTGTCTCCCAAAATTCATATGTTGAAGGATTAAACCCCAGTACTTCAGAGTGTGACTGTATTTGGAAAACAGGGTGGTTATGTTAAAGAGATGGTGATGTTAAAATGAGGCCATTGGTATGAACCTTCATCCAGCCTGACTGGTACCGTTACAAGAGGAAATTTGGACACACAGAAATACACCAGGGATACTCACATTCAGAGGAAAGACTGTATGGGCATGCAGAAAGAAAATACCCCTCTGCAAGCCAAGGGAAGCCTCAGCGTCTAGGGTTTTCAATAGTGTCCGTTTCATCTGGGTTCCAACCAAATGTCCCAGTTTCACATTAGGAAATTTATATTTGAGGTAAGCAACATTCTTTCTTCAAATATATTTTCAACTACTTTTTTTCTCAGACCTTCTGGGACTCTGATATGGATGTTAGAGCTTGTAATTGTCCCTAAAGTGCAAAGGCTTCATTTAAATTTTTTTTCAATTTATTTTTCATATCTAGAATGGGTAATTTGTGTTGATGTGTATTTACCATTTCTGTATTTACCATGGAGCACAACTTCTCAAACTTCTGGCTGTACATAGTGCAGAGATATTTCTGAATAAAGTATCCCTCTCTGAATTTGTTTCTTTTCTTAGTTCTCTTAAGTGTCTTTAATTTTCATATTTATTATTTAATGGATGCATTGTGAGGGTAGCCCAGGACCTTTATTGTGCTAGGTAAGCACTCTATTACTGAGCCACACTCAGCCTGTGAATAAATATTCTATCTCCCCACTTGCCCCTCCTCCATCTTGATATGTTGTTCAGGGTATCCTGGAACTCCTGGGCTTAAGCAGTCCTCTGTCATACCCTCCTGTGGGTGTGGGCCTACTGAGCACACCTGTGTTTCAGCTTCCAGTTCAAAAGAATGGTAGAAATGGATGTTATTCCTAGGACTAACATGAATTTCCTTCAAACAAGCTAATGTGGATACTACTGCTGCTGAATGCCCAACCAGCAAAAGCTAAACAGAAGAGTGATGTTAGTGATGTTGCCATTACTATCCATGATTGAGGAACTTACTGGCTGTCCACCCCCCCCCCCCTTTTTTCCTTCCTTTTAACCTTTTGTAGTACTGAGGATTGAGCCAGGGTGCTTCACCACTGATCTACGTCCACAACCCTTTTCATTTTGAGACAAGTTCTAGCTAAGTTGCCAAGACTGGTCTCTTTGAGTTGTAGTCCTCTTGCCTCAGCCTCCCAAGTTCGTGGAATTATGGCATGCAGCATCCCTGTGCCTGGTCTTAGTCATTGTTTCTTCTCTCTCTTTTTTTTTTGGTACTGGGGATTAAGCCCAGGGGCCCTTTACCACTAAGTTACACCCCCCCCCCTTTTTTGAGACAGGGTCTTCCTAAATTGCTTAGGCCCTCAATTAGTTGCTGATCAATTTGAACTTTTTCAAGGAGGGAGATACCAGGGATTGAACTCAGTGGCACACGAACACTGAGCCATATCCCCAACCCCATTTTGTATTTTTAATCAGAGACAGGGTCTCACTGAGTTACTTAGCTGTTGCAATCTTACAACAAAAACACTCAGGGTAACTCCAAGGAACTGGACTGCATGAAATAATCATACATGAGACAGAGACACCTTTTTCCTTGGGGTCCTGTGATGATTCCTTTGACCTTAAGGGTCTGCAGAAAGAGAGTGAGTGTGCTGAACCCTTTTATTGAGAAGCCACCCAAATGAAGCAAGGGATCAAGTTTCAGGAGGTTGAGTCTAACTTTGTGATGTCTGCTGTCAGCAGGTTGACTGACATCTAGGAAGGCCACGCACAAAGGCAAAGCAAGAGCGGGGGATTCACAAAGGGCAATTCCATGGAACATTTTATCCCAAACAGGGCAAAGGGGTAATATCACAAAGGAACAGGTGAGCATACTCAATCCAAGGGATGACACGCCTGCATCTGAAGACATGTCCTCAAACTTCAGGGACAGAGGCAATGTCCAGGTTACTATGAGATGTAGTGACAGTCAGAGCCTCTCCGCTCAGGGAAGGAGAATGCGAAATCATTCAGACTGGCTGCCCACACTTAGCACCTTACTTTGGCTGAGGCTGGCTTTGAACTTGTAATCCTCCTGCCTCAGCCTCCAGAGCCACTGGGATTACAGGTGTGCATCACCACATTGGTGTTTCTATGGAAATTATTTTTTTAATATTTATTTTTTTAGGTGTAGATGGATACAACACAATGCCTTTATTTTTATGTGGTGTGAGGATCGAATCCGGGTCCTTCCCGTGCTAGGCAAGCACTCTACCACTGAGCCACAATGCCAGCCCCTATGGAAATTATTTTAAAGCAACATAAACACAAGAATGGATCCATTTCAATAACATGTACTTATCTCACCATGCATCCCAGTAACCAAAAATAGCTAGTTTAATTGTAGACTTATAGTGCCATCAGAAAACAGATGGTTTGGGGCTGGGGATGTGGCTCAAGCGGTAGCGTGCTCACCTGGCATGCGTGCGGCCCCGGTTTGATCCTCAGCACCACATACAAACAAAGATGTGTGTCCGCCGAAAACTAAAAAATAAATATTAAAAAATTCTCTCTCTCTTAAAAAAAAAAGAAAACAGATGGTTTAAACTACAGTATAGTATGCTGTTGTTTATTCAAAAATAGGTGGGTTTGAGAAACAAAGGAGGGAATAGGTCTTATTATTACATCTCATCAGGCAAGTCCTCTTTGTCAGCCAGTAATGTTTGCTTTTCATTCCCATACCTTTGAACTTTGCTATTTTTGACATCTTAGTTTCTTCCACTAAGGGATAGGATGATTCCAATGACCTTGTTATAGAATCTGTCCTTTAGGCAAAGGAAAGATGTCAAGTATGTGTGACACCTACAGAATGTCACCTTAATTGTCAAAAAGGAAGCAGGAATATGTTAGGAACATAGAGGCATCCTTTGGGATGCTTCTGCCATTTCCATGTCCACTAATAAACATTAATGGATGCATACAGCACCTCAGAGTGGCAAAGTGAATAATTCAGACTCTTTGGTAATTCAAGTTTATGCAAACCTAACTGGTAAATATTCCAGCTGAATGTACCATGAAATATCAATGGTAGAATAGGTAGGAGGCATATGGTTGTTCACTGTAATATTCTTTCAGTTTGTCTCGCTAAAATTTCATAATAAATCCTTTAACAAAGAGGAGGAGGAGGGAATATAATTTTGAGATGCTAGCTTAATACAGGGAATATGTGTGAATCTTTTCTTTGCTCCTACTATGGAGTATTTTAATACATTTTTGGACGTTAGCCCATTTGACTGGTATGAAGTGGTATCTCAGTGTAGTTTTGCTTTTTTTTTTTTTCAAAGTACAGCTTTATAGTTTTACACAGTAGTTAGGTTCATCCTAACAACTTTATACATGCATGGAAATCAATTTTAGTTCATGATCTTCTCCTTTTCCCTCCTGTCTTCTATCCCTCTCCCATTCCTCTACTCTATTAGATTTCTTTTTCACTAGTCTATCAATGTATATTTGGTTCTTTTTTTTAAAACAAGCTCTGCCAAGTTTTATTAAAGAAAAATTTTGCATGTTTTACCTTTCACCAGTCTTCTGGCATGCTTCTAATGATATCAGAGTCACCTGGACCAATGATAGACAGCATGCACTCTGTAGTATTTTACGCATGTTGTGCCCAATTCAATATTATAGCCACTGTAGTGATGGTCACCAATTTTGGCCAATATGGCACAGTACTCTATTTCAGATTTCCTCAAAGCTGGATAGTTATTGGCAAGGAGGGCAATTTCACTTTGCCCTGTGTGATCATCTTCGGAGTCTGCTGTACCCCAGCACATACTTTCCACTTTCCATAACAAGTTGGAGCTTTATTAACTCCAGAGACTTTTTTTGTCTTCTTTGGGGCCACCATCTTACTGCCTTAGATGTGGACTACGCCCAACCAAGAGTAGCTGTCAAGATAGCTGGAGAGCTGGAAAGCTATATTTGGTTCTTTTTAATTTTTTTTAATTTGTTCTTTTTAGTTATACATGACAGTAGAGTGTATTATGACATATTATACTTTCATGGAGTATAACTAACCATTCTTGTGATTGTACATGATGGGAAGTTACTTACACTGGTCATGTGTTCATACATGTACATACGAAAATTATGTCGGACTCATTCCAGTATTTCCTATTCCCATTCCCCCTCCCTTCCTTCATTTCCCTTTATCTAATTCAGTGAACTTCTGTATTTGGTTCTTTATGTTATCTAGCCTTCCCTTCCCCTTTTCTTTATTTCACTCTAGCTTATGAGAGAAAACAATCAACCTTTGAGTCTTTGAGTTTGGCTAATTCCACTTATCATGATATCGTCCATTTCTAACTTACTGGTAAATGACATGATTTCATTCTTTTTCATGCCTGAGTAGAACTCCATTGTATACACATATACAACAATTTCTTAATCTGTTAATTTATTGATGGCATCTGGGTTGATTACATAATTTAGCTATTGTGAACTGCACTGCTGTAAGCACTGATGTGGATGTATTATGCTGATTTTAGATCTTTTGGGAAAATTCAAGGGAGTGGGACAGCTGAGTCATATGATGGTTCCATTCCTAGTTTTTTGAGCAATCTCCATACTGCTTTCAAGAGTGGTTGTACTAGTCTGCAGCCCCACAAATAAAGTACGAATATACCTTTCCCCTATGACCTTGCCAGCATTTATTATTATTCGTATTCTTAATCATGGCCGCTCATACTAGAGGGAAATGAAATCTTAGTGTAGTTTTGATCTACATGTCTCTACTTGCTAGATATATTGACCATTTTTTCATATATTTGTTAGCTATTTGTGTTTCTTCTTTTGAGAAGTTTGTTTAGTTCTCTTGCCCACTTATTGATTTGGTTATAGGTTTTTCTTTTTTGATGTTAAGCTTTTTGAGTTATTTCTCAAATATTCTGGATATTTATCCCCTATTGGATGTAGCTGGTCAATATTTTCTCCCATTATGTAGGCTCTCTCTTCATGCTTTTAATCATTTCCTTTGCTGTGCAAAAGCATTTTGGTTTGATGGCATCCTTCTTATTGATTCTTAGTTTTATTTCTTGCATTTTGGGGGTGTCTTGCATTTTCCTTATGAGCAAGATGAAACAACTTTTTAAAAGTTTTTTAAAAAACTTAACCCTGATATTCCATAATGATGATGAATCAGTAAATCCTTTCCTAAATTAATATAGATTGCATTGTGAATTTTCTGTAGATGGGTGAATTCTATACCATTTCAGAATGCCTTCCATATTATACTTTGGTGTTTCTCAAAAGGATGAATTAATGAACTTCAATGTTATATTGTTATAAATAAAACTATTCCTAAGTTTTTATGATAATAGATAAAACTGAGCTTAAAGAAAACATTCTCTAAATCTTCATATTCATTATACTTTTCAATAGTGTAAATATTATGCTGTTGAGCAAACATTGAGTCATGATTAAAGGTGTTCGCAAAGTGTCCATTCATAGTGGTTCTCACCATGGTGAATTTTCTGCTTAGTAAAATATGAAGTGTAACTAAAGATGTGGTTACTTTTCTTCTCTTCATAGGGTTATGCATCAGTATGGATTTTTTCTGTCACAGAAATGGTGGAGTCCTAGATACAGATTTCCCATACTCTTCACATTCATGTGGGTCTCTTTCTGGTATGGGAAATGATGTTAATTAAGTTCTGAGTCATGAAAAAAAAGCTCTTTGCACATTCGTTGCATTCATAGATTTTCTTACCAGTATGAGTTTCCTAGTGATGATGAAAATTTGAGCCATAAAAAAAGGTCTTTCCACATTCCTTACATTTATGGAGTAAATTTTCTCATGTTGAGCAAAATACAAAGCCCAAATGAAAATCTTCCCAGCTGGGCATGGTGGTGCATGCCTGTAATCCCATCAACTCAGGAGGCTGAGGCAGGAGGATGAGTTCAAAGCCAGCCTCAGCAAGGGCAAGACTGTAAGCAACTCAGTGAGACCCTGTCTCTAAATAAAATACAAAATAGGGCTGGGCATGTGGCTCAGTGTTTGTGAGTGCGCTTGAGTTCAATCTCTGATACTACCTCCAAAAAATGTCTTGTGCCTAGATGGGTTACAAGTCAATGTATCCTATGTGGCAAAAGTTATTGTACTGATGATCTCTTGCAGAGGGCACTCACACCAGCATATTTCGGTATTGTTAAGGAAGAGAATATAAGAATGAGAAGGAAAAATTCATGAGAGAAAAAAACATGTAAAGTTATGCTCATGATAAGTACTATGAAATTCAATGGAAAAACATGGGATATATACTTTATCTAATTTATGATTATGTTGGGATATGTGCATGTCTGCTCAGTAATTAAAATTGTAACATTTGCTAAATCTATACAAGTTGTTTGGAAACAGTATACTCTAAGATGTCATAGAAATCTTGTTTGAATCATGTCAAAAAGTATAAAAAATATAAAATTTACATAAACAGTGTCCTTAGTTCAGAGAAATGACAGGTGGATTATAGTCATATAAAATGTAACAAACTTGCATACAAAGTCAGTAGGAAAATTCCAACTATTAACATAAACTCATTGGGGCGGGGAGCTGGGTGTTGAACCCAGGAGTACTTAACCACTGAGCCACATCCCCAGCCCTCTTTCTATATTTTATTAGAGACAGGGTCTTGCTGAGTTGTTAAGTGCCTCGCTAAGTTGCTGAGACTGGCTTTGAATTCATTATCCTGCTTTGGTCTCCTGAGCCCCTGGGATTACAGCCATGCACCATTGTGCAGGCCTAACCTAAACTAATTTTTAATGGCCTGTCTCTCAAGCTGGCATATGAAGAACACATTTCATTTCTCCCATGGATTCAACATAGTTCAAAATGAAAGGAGAAAAAACAAACAAACAAACTCCGTATGTAACTTAAAACCCTGATTCAACTTAAACAGTCCATACTAATTAAAACCATACACTATTGTTTAAACAAAACTTATAGAATTGTATCACCTCAAAATTTAGTTTCTTTTCCTGTTTTTTTGGTTGTTTGTTTTGTTTTGGTAGCAGGTATTGAATTCTTGTGTGGGTGTTGCATTCTTAACCACTAAGCCACATCTGCATCTTACGTATTTTAAGAAAGGGTCTCACTAAGTTGCTGAGGCTGTTCTCTAACTTAGGGTCCTCTTGCTTTAGCCTCCTAAGTCACTGATATTACAGGCACACACTACCACAGCCAACTTTAGTATTTATTCCCAAGAGTAAAAATTTTTATTAAGTCACTGATACACACAATATATATTTAACTTTTTTACATTCTTTTTAGGTTTTGCATTTTTTGCAGTATTCTACACCACTTCAATTGAATCAAGCTTTTAATAGTATTTACATATATTTCCCCTACATGGGGAATTTTTACAGGGCTTCGAATCTGTAAAACCTGAAAACTTTCTTGTGTTTTTCACATTTACAGGGCTTTGTGCATTGTTATATATGGGCCAAATCAGGAGATTTGCACCTTTTTCTAGTCATGGTCCCTGACTATATTTTGTTCTTTCACATATATGAACAAAACCAAGATGACTAGAGACATTCCACACATCTTTCATTGATATGAGTTTTTTCCACCATTCAATCTCAAATTTTCTAGAAACTTTGTGTGGTAATGAAGCATTTACACATTCTATATTTTGAGTTATTGTCTAGTGTGAATTTTTTCATGCTTGTGAAAAGTATTGCAATGACTAAAAGCTTTCCTACATTGTTTACTTATATAGGAATACTCTACACTGAGAGTTTGTGTTGTCTGTGTTTTGTGAAGGAACTGTGATCTCAGATGTCTTTCCCACATTGATCACATATGTAGAGGTCTTCTGTAGTAAGTAATTTCATTAAAAATGGAATATATGAGCATTTTATCACCTTGTATCCATTCTTGATGTTACTCTAAAGCGTCCTTTCATTCCTCTGAATGTTATCTGGAAACAACTGAGGGACTCCCATATTCCTGACATTCATATCATTTGTATCTGGTATGAGCTCTGAAAGGAACATTAACACGTGAATGACCAATGAGGACTTCTCCAAACAAATTACTTTGACCAGCTTTTTACTCAAGGAAGTTTTCTTGTTTACCATAGAATCTATAGTACTACTGAATATTTTTCTACGTTTTGATTACCTATTTATGTTCAGAGTCTGTGTTCCATTTGATTTCTATAGAGGCCAGGTTCCTGAAGGTTTCCCACATTACATCTCTGTAGAGCTTCTTTTGGAAAGGATCCAGCAAAGCCCACTCCTCTACAGAAAAGCTCAGAGCGACATCCTCAAAGGTAACTGATTTCATTTCTGGATTCCAGGGTCCCTCAGCCTTCTCTCTACAGTTCCTCCAGGTAGTGGAGGACATAGACTGACAGAGGTTGAGCCACATAGTTCTCTCATCAGCTGAGGGAATGTCCCTAGAATGAAGGTGCCACAAAGCACCAGTATGAATTTTCTGATGTTGAGTTAGGTGTGACCCAAGAGTAAATGCTTTCCTACAGTCCTTACATTCATATGGTTTTGCACCATTATGAATTCTCTGATGTTTAATGAGATGTGATCTTTGACTAAAGGTCTTTCTGCATTCACTACATCCATAGGGCTTTTCTCCAGTATGAATTCTATAATGTCGAGTAAGGTCTGATCCACAGCTGAAGGCCTTCCCACATTCTTTACATTCATAGGATTTTTCACCAGTATGAACTCGCTTGTGGACACTAAGTTGTGAATGAAATCTAAAGGCTTTCCCACATTCCTTACATTTTAATGGTTTCTCCCCACTATGAATTCTCCTGTGACAAGTAAGACCTGATCTCAAACTAAAAGTCTTGCCGCATTCTTTACACTCATATGTTTTCTTACCAGTGTGAAAAGTTTGACATTGAGTAAGTTCCAAGTCAAGAAGAAAGGTTTTCCCACATCCTTTTTCTTCATGTAACATTTCACCACTGTGAACGACCTGATGCTGATTATGGTCTGAGGCAGAACTGAAGACCTTTCTACATTCCTTCCATTGACACAATTTCTCATTAGTATGAATTTTCAGATGTTGAGTTAGGTGTGCACGACGAGTAAAATCTTTCCCACACTGCTTACATTCATAAGGTTTTTCACCAGTGTGAATTCTCCGATGGTTATTAAGATGTGATTGCTGACTAAAGGCCTTTTTGCATTCACTGCATTCATAGGGCTTTTCACCAGTGTGAACTCTCTGGTGACGAGAAAGTTCTGAGCCACAACTGAAGGCCTTCCCACATTCCTTACATTTTAAAGGTTTCTCTCTAACATGAATTCTTTTGTGACCACGGAGACTTGAATGCAAATTAAAAGTCTTGCCACATTCTTTACATTCATATATTTTCTTCCCACTATGAACAGTTTGATGCTGAGGAAGTTCTGAATCAGGAAGAAAGGTCTTCCCACATTCCTTTTCTTCACAGAATTTCTTGGCATTGTGAATTAACGGATGTTGAGTTTGGTCTGAGGGAGCACTAAAGGATTTTCCATATTCCTCAAATTCATGTGATTTCTTACCAGTATGAATTTTTTGATGTTGAGTTAGGTGTGACTCAAGAGTAAATGCTTTCCTACAGTCCTTACATTCATATGGTTTTGCACCATTGTGAATTCTTTGATGTTTAATGAGATGTGATCTTTGACTAAAGGCTTTTCCACAGTGAGTACATTCATAGGGCTTTTCGCCTGTATGAATTCTGTGATGACGAATAAGATCTGAGCCAGAGCTAAAGGCCTTCCCACATTCTTTACATTCATAGGATTTCTCACCAGTATGAACTCGCTTGTGGACGCTAAGTTGTGAATGAAATCTAAAGGCTTTCCCACATTCCTTACATTTTAATGGTTTCTCCCCACTATGAATTCTCCTGTGACAAGACAGACCTGATCTCAAACTAAAAGTCTTGCCACATTCTTTACATTCATATGTTTTCTTATCAGTGTGAAAAGTCTGACATTGAGTAAATTCCAAGTCAGGAAGAAAGGTTTTCCCACATTCTTTTTCTTCGTATAATTTTTCACCAGTGTGAACTACCCGATGCTGTTTGTGATCTAAGGCAGAACTACAGACCTTTCCACATTTCTTCCATTGATACAATTTCTCATTAGTATGAATTTTCTGATGTCGAGTTAGGTGTGAGCCACGAGTAAAAGCTTTCCCACACTCCTGGCATTCATAAGGTTTTTCACCAGTGTGAATTCTCTGATGGTTAATAAGATGTGAATGCTGACTAAAGGACTTTCTGCATTCTTTACATTGATAGGGCTTTTCACCAGTATGAATTCTTTGATGGCGAGTAAGGTCTGAGCCACACGTGAAGGCCTTTCTACAGTCATTACACTCATAAGGTTTTTCACCAGTATGAATCCTCTGATGTCTAGTAAGGTCTGACCCATAACCAAAGGCCTTCCCACAATCCTTACACTTTAAATCTTTCTCCACAGTATGAATTTTGTTGTGACTACTAAGACTTGCACATGACCTAAAACACTTGCCACATTCTTTACATGTATACGTTTTCCTATCATGATGTATCTGAGATTGAATAAGTTCCAAGTCAGGAACAAACATCTTCTGAGATTCCTTATCATCACAGAATTTCTCACCAGTGTGAATTAACTGATGTTGACCATGTTTTGTACCAGAACTAATGGCTTTTTTATGAAAGTCTTTACATTCATGGGATTTCTCACATTTATGAATGTTCTGATGTTGAGTTAAGTGTGAAATACGAGCAAAATTTTTCCCACACTCTTTACATTCAAAAGGTTTTCCACTCATGTGAATTCTCTGATGGCTAATAAGATGTGATCGCTGACTAAAGGCCTTTCTGCATTCATGACATTCATAGGGCTTTTCACCAGTATGAATTCTCCAGTGTCGAGTAAGGTCTGAGCCACAACTAAAGGCCTTCCCACATTCTTTACATTTATATGATTTCTCACCAGTATGAATTCGTTTATGGATACTAAGTTGTGAGTGAAACCTGAAGGCCTTCCCACATTCCTTACATTTTAAAGGCTTCTCCCCACTATGAATTCTCTTGTGACCACTGAGACTGGAACGTAAACTAAAAGTTTTGCCACATTCTTTACATTCATATTTTTTCTTATCATTGTGAATAGTCTGATATTGAGTAACAGCTGAATCAGAAAGAGAGAACTTCCCACATTCCTTGTCCTCACATAGTTTCTCACTAGTGTGAATTAACTGATGTTGACGATGATCTGAGCGAGAACTAAAGGATTTCCCACATTCCTTACACTGAAGTGATTTCTCACCAATATGAACTTTCTGATGTTGACTTAGGTGTGAGCCACAAGTAAAAGTTTTCCCACATTCCTTACATTCATAAGGTTTTTCGCCAGTGTGAATTCTATGATGTTTAATAAGATGGGATGGCTGGCTAAAGGCCTTTCTGCACTCATTACATTTGTAGGGTTTTTCACCAGTATGAATCCTCTGATGTCGAGTGAGGTCTGAGCCACAAGTAAAGGCCTTTCTACAATCATTACATTCATAGGGCTTTTCACCAGTATGAATTCTCTGATGTCGAATAAGTCCTGAGCCACAACTAAATGCCTTCCCACATTCCTTACATCCATAAGACTTTTCACCAGTATGAATTCGCTTATGAAAACTAAGATGTGAATGACATCTAAATGCCTTTTCACATTCTTTACACTTAAAAGTTTTTTCCCCAGTATGAATTCTCTTATGACCAGTAAGGCTTGATTGCAAACTAAAAGCCTGGCCACATTCTTCACATTCATATGTTTTCTTACCAGTATGAACTGTCTGAAATTCTGAATCAGGAATAAATGTCTTCCCAAGATCCTTATCTTCACAGAATTTCTCATCAGTGTGAACTGTCTCATGTTGAGTGTGGTCTGAGGCAGAAATGAAGGCTTTCTCACATCCTTTAAGTTCATTCAGTCTCTCTCCTGTATTGAGTCTCTGATGTCGAGTAAAAGCCATGTGTGGGTTCACAGTAAGCATTTTTTCCTCCTGATTTTTCTGTTTTGTTTGAAACTGACTTTTGCCTTCCATATCACAACTATAACATAATCATCCAAGGTTGCAGATCAACACATTTCCATTTTTTTTTTTATTAACTTCTTGGTTTGAGTTCTGGAATGTATGTCTGCAAGATAAGAAGGTAAATAGTTTTATTCTACAAAAGAGATTAATATTCCAAAGTAGACATAGAAATAAAAACTGAAATTAAAGCACAAAGAATTCCCAAATTTTGAACCATCTGAAAAAAGGTAAATAAAAAAATGTAAAAGAAGAAATAAAACTGGAAGCATTTGATGAGACAGGAAGTTTTGTTTATATTCATCTGAGAAGTTCAATAAAAAATGATCATACAGCTGGGTATGGTGGCACATGTCTGTAATCCCAGTGACTCAGGAGGCTGAGTCATAAGGATTACAAGTTTGAGGCTACCCTCAGCAATTTAGTGAGGCTCTCAGCAACTTAATGCGAAAATTTTAAAAAAATATATTAAAGGTCTTAGAATGTAGCTCTGTGGTAATCCAATACCTATTACCTCCTCAACCGTCCCCAAAAAAAGGAAAAAAAATGTCCAGCTACCACATCAATAACAGAAAAATAAGTTAAAGATTTAAAATTGTGGTTAATTCAGTGTGATATAATCAAACTTTAGGAACCATTAGGCATTAAAAATTGTGGAATAAATAAACTTACAAGAAAAACAGCACAGTTAGGTTAGATGAAAGGTATTAAAAAATCTAGGGGCCAGGAAACACAGACGGGATAATCAGGGTAATAAACACGTGACTTATCTCATGTCTTTTGTATCTGTAGGGAAATGATTACACATACTCCTTGACATTCTTTACAAATAGCCAACAAAAGCATACCCAGCCTAGAGTGATGAAAGACAAATATGAAGGAATGTGATCATATCTTCTCATTTTTTAAATTTGTTTTTTCACATGTAAATATTTAACCTTGCTCATTTCCTTCACTGTATATCAAGTCGTTTTTGTCATACAGTCCTAACCAAAGTGCATTTGTTTACTTAGGTATTCTTAATGTTATATATTGCTCACCCATTGTAATAGCATTAACTGTTTGGTGCTTTTAATTCCTTTACCCTGATTTCCTTTTTTTTAAAAAAATATTTCTTTAGTTTTTGATGGATTTTTTATTATTTTTTTATTTTTTATTTTTTTGTGGTGCTAAGGATCAAACCCAGGGCCTTGCACGTACTAGGCGAGTGCTCTACCACTGAGCTACAATCCCAGCCCCTCCTCTGATTTTCTTTTGCTCTTCTAACCAAGGCTAATGAAAGTATCTGAGAAAACAGCTTTAAATTGAAGGTACTTTGTAAGGCACTATGATCAATATTTTGTATAATTCCAAATTTTAAAAAAGGAAATAATACAGTATCCGTTGAGTATATCAGAAGCAATCCAGTCCAGAGTTACAAGTATACCAGGCACTTAATAACACAGGGTATGCTGTATTTGTATCAATGAAGATAATTGTAGATGACAGTTCAGATAGAAAAATAGTTCAATAAATCTGTCAAAGGAACATGAGTCTGGCAAGAGTTAGGAATACGTAGAAGTCTTAATCTTCTGTGATTCATTTTTCATCTGTACTTAGGATTCAGTAAAAATGTCATCCATTTGTGGTATAAATATTTCTTAAGAGAACAGAATTTCTTGGAAACTAAGCAAGAACTTGAGCAACAGAATGAGGCAAAAGACAGTTCAGTTATAAGGTATGAGCAGTAACTCCAGGGGAAAGATAACAAACCACAGTTTCAACTACTTTTGTTTACTGAAATTATCTTTGGTGATGAGAAAATTACTGAGCTTTACAGAATTTTTATTTTCCTGTATGTTAAATAAGAATAAAATCTCTTTTTTTATCAGAGTTCTGTTGATATAGTAGGAAATAATGCACTATTTCTATAAATCACCTGAAAACAGAATAAATGCTTAACAACTAATAAATGATGATCATTATCAATATAGAAAAAAATGAGAATATGGGGAACTAGACTAGCCAGGACTTCTCTTTTTGATGGTGAGTTCTCCTGTCTTTTAGTCTTAACCTCTATTCTGCCACTTCCTGGTTATTAAGATAAAAAAACCCTTTTAGCCTATTATCCTGATTTTCAACAACCACATTTTTTTTTTTTTTTTGGTACTGGGGATTGAACTCAGGGACACTTGGCCACTTAGCCACATCCCCAGCCCTATTTTGCATTTTATTTAGAGACATGGTCTCACTGAGTTGCTTAGTGCCTTACTAAATTGCTGAGGCTGGCTTTGAACTCGTGATCCTCCTGCCTCAGCCTTCTGAACAGATGGGATTACAGGCACTACTACGCCCGGCTAGCTCTTTCTTAATGTAGAGTCTATCATGCAGAAATACATAGCCATGTTCCAGTTAAATAAAATTTAAAAAAAAGTTCTTAACCCATTAATTCCCAAGTTTTTAATTCTATGAATGTTTCAATGAATTTGACATGTGCATTAAAATAGGTTAGAAGTCATAATCTAGTTATTACATATTATATTCACATAACTATCATTTAACTATTATAATAATGCCTTTATTGCTTTATAACTTTATTAAATATTATGTAACTGCATTAAATATTATATACTATATTTTAGGTTTGTATGCATGTGCAACATCTGGGCCAATGGGCCAATGTATTATATACTCTGTTAATTCTTCTAAACCTAAAATAAAATTAGAAAATCAGTGAATGTTAGTTCAAAGAATAAATTAACTGATGAAGAAAATGTACAAGCAAGTAAAGAACATAAAATAAGAAAAATTCAAGAGATAGTAGGTAAAATTAGAACTAAGGCCACAAAACTAAAGGGCAAAGAAATTTGTAAATAAATTTTTAAAAAGATAGGAAAGAACTTGATCCCAATAATCCACAATATGATGTCACTGGAGGAAAAGTATAGCATCCATCTAACCTTTGTAATAAGAGGGGAAAACAAAAGTATAGAAATGGAGAGGTATCTGAAGTAAAGAGAAAGTTCTCTTGGAAAAGGGTTTATGTATGGATTTCAAGTCTTTATCAGAGATATTTTGTCAGGACGTAATACTCAAGCTGGATATTCTAGGGGTGCTAGTGCCTCATTAAGCAGCTGAGCTATTATCTATGATGGCTGCCTGATGATGCTTACTCACACTCACCTGGTTAAGACCCTCTTAATTCATTCCTCGAACAATCCTGAGTTCTTGCTTTTTCCTGAATAAATAGAACATGTCTGGCTGATAAAGCACAGTCCAAACCAGCAGATTAAAAAAAAAAAAAAAAAAAGACCACATGGCTAAAAGTTCCAAATCTCCAGCTGGTACTTTGGTTAATCACAATTCTAACAAAAATGATAGAGGATTTCTGAACCTTGGCAACTGCTTGCTTTACAAAACAAACCATTTCCCCAGAAAAAAGGTCAAAAAAGCCCTGTAAATATTTAAAAACAATCCACAGTAATAGCAGGAATATCTTTTTTTCTTTTTCTTTCTTTTTTTAAATTTTTTGGTGCTGTGTATTGAACCCAGGGCCTTGTGCATGCAAGGCAACCATTCTACCAACTGAGCTATTTCCCCAGCCCTATAGCAAGAATTTCTAAGTTCAAATTCTGAATCTTCCCCAGTGAGATGAGGTGGCTCTAGTTCTCCAACATCACATGTCTGTAAATATCCCTGTTTTTCAGGCCCATTCATTACCCTTCCACTAGGAGAAATCCACAGCCACATTCCTGAACATCACAACTGCTAAAAGCACAAACAAAAATATTAATGGTGAAATCTGATGCAATATTTTTGATGGAAAGGGAAAAGGTAGAAAAGTGCACTATAGGGAACTGGACATACAAGGAACAAAAAAGTAGAGTTGGCAGCCTGTGGTATGGGAGAAAATTATATATTAGTGTGACTGAAGCCAAGAGCTTTCATGATGTCAAAACTCCTATTGCTCAGTCACAACATCCAGTGACCTTCATATAATACAAGGCACTAGGATGGTAGCCTAGAGTATTATATGTCATAGGAGTCCTTTGTGATGTCACTGAGAGACTGCATCAGGCTGCAATCACTACCTCCAGATTTTTAATATGAAGAAAGCTGGGGTTTTTGTGGGCTGTTCACTTTCCTTGTGTTTTATGTAAACTACTTTTAGTTGAATTCCATTGGTTTAAATAGGAAGAACGCTTTACAGGTATGCTTCCTAACTGAATACTATTTCCTGTGGACAACGTGTAAGGTCTCGGGCTCTCTGCTAAGTAGATAACAATCGGCACAGGTTTTGTTAATACTGCTAGTTTCTCTCAGATTTCCTGGCAAGATCCCAGATCTCTATGAATTCTCTGTCTTGTCATACTTCTGACTAAAAGCCATATGTTGAAATGAATACCAACTAATGCTGAATTCCATTTTAACTAATTGAAATATCCCATTTATGGAGTAAATTAAAAATTTCATGTGCCTTCACTGTAACCACTTGGTTCCTCCTTCTAAAGCTGCAGTTTTATGATAAAGGTGTCTTCTATTCTCTTTTTAAAAATTAATTTCTTCTCTTTCAGTGCTCTGTCAGAAAATTTGGATCCAGTAGATACTGAATGCCCTGTCAGGCAATCTGGGAATACTGGTTGGAAAAAAAAAAAGAGGGACATCTAGGGAAGGCATGGGACTGTCTGACAACCATCATTTACCACCTTGGAATGAATCAGGTAATTAGTTTAAGGACCTGTGATAAAAATGTTCATATGCTTTGAAATAAATGATTACATTTTGGAAACAATTTGAGTCAAATGGGTTATGACTTTAAATTCCAAGAGTTGACCAATCCTCCTCTGGATTATTCTCTTGGTAAAGCAGCCATGAGAACAGAGCTAGAGGAAAAGAATGGAGAAATGAGAAAGGCCATTTTCTTCCTTGCAGGAAGGTTAGAGGAAGTCTGGGAAAATCCTGGCCCTATTCCAACTAGAGAGATTTTACTTAAGCACTATGGAGTTTCAATCTAATTAAAATTGCCAAAATCATTACATCAATCTAGGTATGAGATAACATCATTTTAATTTTTTGCAAGTGTTCTCTACAATTATACAAACCCAAGATCATCTCAAGGGCAACTGAATTTTCCAATTGGGAGTGCACTGTACCTGCCCACAGCAGTCCTATATACTTCCATGACAGTAACTTTTATTTCCTCCATGTCCAACAAAGTTTATTGCACCTACCAACTGATTTTCATCCAAAACATCCAAGAGGGGCCATAAATCTAAAGGTAAGATAGGCCACAATAAACTTTACCAGGATGAATGACATTTAGAGACATGACTGATATACACAGCCCAAGTAGTCTTTACTGGGGCATAAACAGACATGTGTACAAGTCTTGGCTCAACTGGACTGTCAATTCTCATTAACCTCCAAGTCCTGACACTCTCTTCTTTCTCTGCTTTCTGCCCACATCCTTGCAACCTTTTAAGACAACATATGTCTTAGAGAAAATGAGAACATGATTCTGATATTCATTCCCACTCTAAAATGAAAACAACAAAAATACCAAATAAACAATATTATGTTTGGGCAATTTGTGTGTATATGTGTATGTATGTGTTTACTTAAAAATATGGAATAATCGAACCTATATAAAATTAAATAGAATAGCTTTACAAGTCTCCATGTCTGTTCCCTCAGACTCATCAAAGGTCACTTCATGTCTAGATCAATCTTTACTCTCAAGCAGTCTGTTAAGGGCAGTTATCCTCATTTAAAAGATTAGGCAATTGGTAACTTGCTCAAATTCACTATTAAGAAATAGTTTAGGGGGCTGGGGTTATGGCTTAGTGGTAAAGTGCTCACCTACCATGCGTGAGGCATTGGGTGCGATTATCAGCACCACATAAAAATATTGTGTCCACCTACAACTGAAAAATAAACATCAAAAAAATAGTTTAGGGTTGTTGAACCCAAAGCTTGAATTTCAGAATTTCTAATTTATAAAATGGTGAAAGATGACCCAAGTAGTGCCCTTACGGAAGTAGACTCCATTCTCTGTTAAGTCTGTGTTTTGCTGATACTGAAGAAGAGTGAGGCACTGGATAACAAACTCTGGAATGAAATATATTTGTGTCTGGAAAGCAGATGGGATTTGAGAGACGTATGATATCCTTTAAAGGAGTAACTAATTCTGTTTCTGCCAGTCCTCCTGGAAACTGTGTGGAAAAAAACAAGGAGAATGTTTTAGATGCCACAGTCATACTACAAAGAAAATCAAGAAATATTCATTGCCATGAGGAGAAGGCCAGACCCTGAATGGAAGTTTATGTGAGCAAAACTGATATAAAAAAGAGGTACTAAAAGGAGGCATATAGATATAATGGCAATTCAGCTAGTAAAACAGCTGGCTATATTTTTAATAGCTTTATTGGGGTACAATTCCATACTACATAATTAGCCCATTAAGAGTGAACAATTCAATGGTTCTTAGTGTATTTTTATATATGTGCAACCATCCTAAGTCAATTTCAGAATATTGTCATCAATGCAAAAAGAAAACCTATACCTTTTTTAGCTATTATTCCTCCTGTTACCCACCTAAACTTAAATAATGAATTATCTAGCTTTTTTTCTCTATTGATAACCACCCCATAGCTTTTAACACAAATGGAATCAATACATGGACTCATGAGTGGTTTCTTTCTTTTCTTTTCTTTTTAGAGAGAGAGAGAGAGAGAGAGAGAGAGAGAGAGAGAATTTTTTAATATTTATTTTTTAGTTTTCGGCGGACATAACATCTTTTTTTTTTGTATGTGGTGCTGAGGATCGAACCCGGGCCGCACGCATGCCAGGCGAGCGCGCTACCGCTTGAGCCACATCCCCAGCCCCATGAGTGGTTTCTTTGATTTATCATGTTTTCAAGGTTCATCCAAGTTGTAGCACATCTAAATATAACTTTCTACTAATAATATTCCTGCACAGATAGACCATATTGTTTACCCATTGCTCCAGTAATGGACATTTGAGCCATTTCTAACCTTTGACTATTATGAAAAATGTGGCTATGAGCTTTATAGACAAATCACTGTGTACCTATTTTGGAATTTTCACAATGTAAATTAAGTTTTTTTGTTAAATTTATTCTAAAGTACTTTTTTTGGAGTATATTACTGGGTCAATTTCATTTGTTGATTGTTTGCTGCACATGTACAAAGACACAATTAATCCTATATCCTCAAGCTTAGCTGAACTCAGTTCTATTTATTTTAAATAATATTTTTATACCTTTATTTTATTTATTTTCATGTGATGCTGAGGATTGAACCCAGAACCTTGCATGTGCTAGGCAAGCGCTCTACCTCTGAGCCACAACCCCAGCCCCTATTTTTTTTCTCTTGTATATGTGTCTTGATTTTTTAGGATTTTCTATGTAATGTCATCTGGAAATGGAGATGATTTTTATGTGTATTCCAACCTTGATTCCTTTCTTTCTTTTTCTTGTCTACATGCTCTGGCTGAAACCTCCATAATGTTGAATAGAAGTAGCAAAAGTGGATATCCTTGTCTTGTCTCCCTGATCTTAGGGGGAAAACACTAGGCTTGCAGCATTATGATGTTAGGCATATACCTAGATGTTTTGTGTCATGTTCAGGAAATTCCCTTTTATTCCTAGTTTATAGAATGTTTTTATTATGAAAGGGTATTGGCTTTTGTTAAATGCCTTTTTTCTGTCTATTGAGAAGATTGTGTGATTTTTTTATTATTATTATATTAATAAGATGCATTACATTAATTGATTTGAGGTTAAACCAACCTTCCATTCCTGGGATATGTCTGACAATGTCATGTTGTATAATTCATTTTGTTACTGGATTTGGTTTGCTAGTACATTTAAAGACTTCTGCACCCTTATTCTTAAGAGTTATACTTTGACTCATTTTGGTATTTAGGTAGTACTGGACCCTAAAATAAGCAGGGAGCTTGACTATATTCTTCAATAACAACAGAGAAGACACTAGATGAACTCAGAGGCAGTAGCAGAAGTCCTCCTGAATCCACTTAGGTTCTGAATGGCAAATAAGAGCTGGCAATTTTAAAGGGCCAGGCTACAATGAAACTGTCTTCTAAATTTGGGCAGAAAAACCTAAAAAAAAAAAAAAATCTATCATTGCCCAGTTCACTCTTTCAGAGAATGTATTAGTAACATTATTGCAAGATACATATTTTTTTCATACTGGGAATTGAACTCAGAGGTATTCAACCACTAAGCCACATCCCCAGCCCTATTTTGTATTTTATGTAGACAGACTCACTTTGTTGCTTAATGCCTCACTGAATTCATGATCTTCCTGTCTCAGCCTCCTGAGCTGCTGGGATTTCAGGTGTATGCCACCGTGCCTGGCTACAGGAAAATTTTTTACATTAAAAAAAAAAAACAATTACATACAATTAGAAGTACTGTTTATAAAGATATTCAAAAGTCTGAAAATGTGTTAACATTCTCACAAAAAATAGTAGATCAAAATTATCACCCACCAGTCCAACATGAATAAATAATAAATGATGATCTCACAGATCTAAAGATGGACTACATAATCAAATACATAATCCCAGAAAAGGTGACAAAGCCATGGCTAGACTATAGGTGGGAGTTAGTAGAATGTGGGAGCTACCCTGCCCATGGACTAAGCATCCTTTCTCAGCCTTGAGTAATGGGGATGTTTGATCTGGCATCGCAAGCCACGCACTGTGCGAAACAAGTGGTCTCCACTTAAATTTGGCAAAGAAGTTTGCTCTAGCCCTGGACTTGGGCATTACCCAATGGGATTGGACATCCCCCATTTGAAACCCTATCCCCTGCCTTATTTGGTGAGGAACATTCCATTGAAGCTCCTTTGTGTGTCCCCCTATAAAATAGATTCCGGGTGCACACTCTCTTGCCTTCCAGCATGGAAGAGGACCCTTGAGGTCACAGAGCAGTCCCACCCTTGATCTGAGAAACTCATGTCCATGTGTTGCATGATCTCTTTGCCATTTTCTTAGACTAATGTTCAGCCAACTCTTTTGAACCCAGATCATCTTGTCAGCATGGGCAGCTGGCAAGAGTGAATTCAAAAATAAAAGAGAAAATAGGCAACATATTCTTCCTTTGTTCCTTTCTGCAAATAATACACTACAAGGAGTACAAAGGTTGAAAAATATCATAGACATATAGGTAGTGAATGCAGCAAAATCTAACAAGAAAAGGGATTTTTTAAAAAAAGCAAAATCAGAGCACATCCAATGTACACATAAATAAGCAGACACACTAAAGATGAAATCAAAATTAAGGTACCAAGCATAAACCTATAATCCCAGCCATTCTGAAGGCTGAGGTAGGAGAATCGTAAGTTTGAGGCCAGCCTAGGCAACTTAGTGAGATCCTGACTCAAAAAATACAAAGGTCTGGGGATGTAGTTCAGTGGTAGAGGGTTCCTGGTTTCCATCCCTAACACGCGCACACACACACACACACAGATTTTTTTAAAAAAGGAACAAAGAAATTAAGAGGCAATATCTAATATTCTTTTTTAACATACTACCAATATCTACATTAACTACTACAAATAATATCATGAAAGTCAATGAAGACAAATGAATGAAGGAATTTATCACATTCATAGATGAGAGTTTCCTCTAAACATAGTAGTTGAGGATAGGTAAGATATATCATAATAAAAATAATGTTCAGGTGGCTAGGTTATACCATACAAGGCAGGGCTGGGGTATAGTTCAGTGGTAGAGTGCATGCCTAGATGGGAGTTTGATTCCCAGGCACAGCACACACACATAAAAGACACAAAAAAGACACAAAAAAACCTGACAGCAGGATTGATTTCTTTCCTTTTTCTTTTTTCTTTTTTTTTTTAAACAGGAATTGAACCCAGATATGCTTTACACTGAGCCCTATCCCTAGTCCTTTATTTTGAGACATTATCTCCTTAAGTTTCTTAGGGCCTTGCTAAGTTGCTGAGGCTGGTTTTGAACTTGGATCCTCCTGCCTCAGCCTCCCAAGTCACAGGGATGTGCCATCACACCCAGAAGGGAAAAATAATGAGATATTTAAAAGCAGTTTCCATTCATGAGAACAGGGTAAGTGAAAATGCAAACCACTGCCTCAGAGGTATCTGCATACACAGAAGTGACAAAGGACTCACATTCAGATTACATAAAAAATGCCTAAGAAACAACAATAAAAAGACAAACTCCTCAAAATTGGGCTAAGGATTTGGCCTGGCCTTGCCCAAAGGAAGATGTCCACATGGCCAACAGACATCAAAATAAAGACATTCCACTTCACTAGTCATCAGGAAAACCACAATGCCTTACCATTACCCCACCATATTTTACTGTCTGACGACACCATGTATTAAGAAGAAGGTAGGTGGAGCAGCTGGAACTTGTAAAAATTGTTAATGAGTCTCATAACTTTTTCAGCCATTGTGGAAAACTCAACAGTAACTGCTTATGTAGACTCACATTCTCTGACACACCAACTGCTCCCCTAATATATTACCAAACAACCATATGAAGACAAAGCAGCAAGTTCAAGAAGGCTCATAGCATCACTATTCATGATAGCCCAAAGAAACAATCCAAATGTCTGTCAAGAATAAAATGGACACATACAAGTGATATATTCATGTACTGAAATATTATTTAGCAATGAGGATAACCTGAAATATTTCTACAAACAGTAATCTGGATGGTTCTCACAAACATAAAGTTGAGCAAAAGAACCAACATAACAGGGTACATATATTTCATGATTCCAGTTCAAACAGAGACAGCTGATGTATGGTGGTTACGTTGAGGGAACTATAGGTTGCAGAGAAGCTCCAAAGGGGCTTAGGTTTCAGGTAATGTTTTTATTACTGGACCTGGGTACTTTCCCTTGTGGTCCTTCATTTAAGCCATACAGTTGTGATTGTATTGGTTGTTTGATTGCATTATCATGTAAGACTTGTCTATACACATGATAAACTCTAATAAAATTTGGGGGGGAGAAATATAAATATAAATATATATATATATATATATATATATATATATATAGCATAAGCAGGAGTTATGATCTTAAAGATGCTAAATCTGTAGCCTCCAATTCACAAAAAATATATAATAAACATAATGTCTATATATCAATTAACAAAGCTACACATTTCAGACTGAAGTTGTAGCTGATTGCTTTTCTCCCATGCACAGCACCCTAAGCTGGATACTCAGCGTTACAAAATCAAGCAAGCAAGCCAAAAAAAACCCAAACTTTCCTAAAGCATAAGTTACAGGTAAGTTTCGTCAGTCATACAGGATTTTAATACACATCTCAATCCATTACAAACAAGTGCAAAACTATTAAGTAATTACAGACTGAGTATATATTAGATCACGACAAGAAACATCATTAAATGCCAAATTTCAAAAATCACAACACAGCAAATTTATTGCCTAGAAGTACTTGGAAGATGGTGAATTAGAAGAAGGGCGCACTTTCCAGTCTCTCTGTGGCTTGAGGTTTAAATATTGAGAATACTGCTTCTCAGCAAGGTGGGTGATAGACAGAATTCACTGGATTTCAACAGTGGACAGTAAAATTATCATAGCAACTCAGAAATTCAGAATCACTGAACACAGAAAATGAAGTTTTAGAGATGTGCTAGCTTTGGCAACTATGTCTGTTCACTGCAGAAAAGAGGGGTAACACAGGCAGAAAAAGAAAAAAGCACTCTGAATATA